CAGCAGCTGGAGTCAATACATATTAAAATTGCTGGGGCTTAAAAATACTAATGTATGTCATGTCATTGTGGCTTCTAACCGATAGCTGTGGAATGGCAATAAATGTTTAGCTCATTTTTAAAACCTCTAATTATGCTTTTTGAAGCCCACTAACTGCCTAGATGAAATGTACAGGTTTTGATCAAATATATTACTAGTACGAATAAGCCTATTCACATATAAACTAGCCCTTGGATTTTTAACTAAAATACCATAAAAATAAGGGATGCAGGCACTCAGTAGCTAAGACGCTGAGCTTGTCGATCAGAAAGGTCGGCATTTTCGAATCCCTAGCTCCGTGTAACGGAGTGAGCTCCTGTTACTTGTCCCAGGTTCTGCCAACGTAGCAGTTCTAAAGCATGTAAAAATGCAAGTAGAAAAATAGGAGCCACCTTTGGTGGGCATGTAATAGCATTCCATGCACCTTTGGCATTTAGTCATGCCAGACACATGAACACAGATACGTCTTCGGACAGCACTGGTTCTGTGGCTTTGAAACAGAGATGAGCATCACCCCCTAGAGTCGGGAATGACTAACACATACATTTGAAGGGAACGTTTATCTTACCATAAAAATGTGCTATCGGTGGATCCTTGAAATTTTTGTACATTCCCCCCCCCCCAATCTATTCTGAAAGACTTGATTTGTTTCATGTTTTGTATCAATAAATGTTCTTTTCCAGAACAAATATCACGTTAATTTTTCACAACCGACATCTACAGATATATAAGGATATTTTAAAAGAGCATTGCCATACATATTTGTGGATAAGCCCATCTATGGCTAAGGCAAACCCAGTTTTAGGATTGTATTGCGAGCCTAAAATTATTGGCTTACCCATAAGTACATATGATAAATGGTTTACATTTTTATTAGGTAAGTTAGATCTTATTTGCTGAGAATGTCCAAGTTTATGAAAGTCTGAGCAGCATTCTTAATTAAACAGCATGTCATTGCTTTGCCGTTTATGGTATAAAGCAGCTTTCTTCTTTAAACCACTTAGCTGGCTTGCAGCAAAACAGAATCCCAGGCTTGGTGGAAAATGAGGTGAAATTTGCAATATTTAGTCAACATGGCACGAAAACCTGGAACATTTCTAGGATCTCTTTCCATCCCACCAAAGCTAAAATAAAATATTCATGTAAGACTAAACAGTTCAAATATATATTTTTTTAAAAAGAAAGACAAATCAGCACTAAAGAGAAAAGTGAGGTAATTTTCCTTCCACTCCAAAATAATCCAGTTTATTTACATTTGCAAGGGCTGAGTATACCAAGCTTATTTTATTTTCTGATTGTAGGGGAACCCGAATTCTAAAACCTTGGAGATGAACCCATGTACTCCCAACAACATCGAAGTAGTTGAAACCCAGTCCCAGGGTCTGAAGATTGAAGACACGGCCATTACATCATCTGTTGAGGAAGACCCTCCTGAAGATGGCTTGGAGTCTGAATCGGAGAGCCACATTGTGGTTTCCTATTGTCCACCAATCATTGAAGAAGTCGTATCTAATCCACCAGAGGATGAATCTGCTGTGTCTTCCCAGGTTGTTTATATTGATGTCCAGTCAATGTATTCAGCTCCCGTTAAACCAAATGAAGAATTAGAAGCTGACTGTGTGGTTTCAGCAGGTTATAAACCGCAAATGCAACTCGCAGTTAATAGTTTCAGACAGTTGGAGGAAACATCAGCGACAGAAGAGGACTCAGACAAGGGTGCAGGCTATAGGCCACAAGCGAATGCACCCTCCTGGAATACGGGCGGTCCAGATTCTCCAGACTCCACAGATAATGTCTCGTTTGGGAGCCCTTGTTCGATTAATTCTCGGCAGTTTTTGATTCCTCCGAAAGATGAGGACGATGAGTCTCCCAAAGCTATTAACTCAGGATGGTCTTTTGCTAACTTATTTCACACCAAATCAAATGAGTAAGACATGGTGGCCCTGGAAATAGCTGTTTGCTTGGAACTGGTTGTTAACAGTTTTGGAAGTGCTGTCTCAGCGCGTTGATTATTTTGGTTAAGTTGAAAGTTACAGTGGACATTTTATAACTGGTAGAGATGCTAATTCACAGCATTTCAGGGAAGGTAGTTTTAAACCAAAGAGCAGCAACTAGTCTGCAACTACCTTTCAACAGTCTTCCTTTTCACCCGCCTTGCCCCAATGCTGTCAGTCGGATTCAATGTTCCTTATCTGTGACTATATTTATGATGTTCTATTTGGAGTATGCCAGAGGAAACATAAGCAAATAGAAGCAAAATTTATATCTGCAGGTATCAATGTGTCTATTAAACTCAAAGGGATACATATATGCAGGTGTGTTCAGGATTGGGACCTTGTTGTCTAATCAAGAATATGTTTAAATTTTAAGAAAGTATATTTAGGGCAGCCTTTGATGATGATGATGGTGATGATAAAACACTACAATAGTGCTGCTGATGGTTTTATGGCATTAGATTTCCAGCTGCTTTGGAGAGCCGTTGTTTAAGGCAGTTTCTTCCCTTTTAATTCCAGTAGAGCCAATTTAGATTGCTTGCCAATCGAAGCTTGCAGTGTTATGTTTATGAGCCTGCTGTATGCATGTATATACAATAATTTTGACTCAGGATACCACACAAGTGTAACACTGATTTTAAACCTTAGCCAGGTATAGATAAATGTTGGACTTCTAGCATATTTTTTTAATAAACTTTATTTTTCCATACTTTAAGAAAGATTAAATACAATGTGTGCTATGTCCTCACCTTAAACCGGAGAGAATATAAACTGCCTTCCTGACATCCCATTTCCTAGCACTGATGTGGATCTAGACATCCTAGTGGATATTTAGGTTTTGGGAACACCAATGCCCCAATTGGATCTCTTTCAGAAAGAGATTGATGAATTTGAGACTGCCGCAGAGATGTGCAAAATGTTCCATACGCATACTGTGTTTCCCCAAAAATAAGACAGGGTCTTATTTTCTTTTGGACCCCCCCCCCAAATAAGCGCTTCGCCTTATTTTCAGGGAGATCTTATTATTTTTGAGGTGCAGGAGGTGGCGAGCGTGGCCAACTCATGGCTGCTGCTGTGTTGCAATATTTTGGGGAAGGACTTATTTTCCAGGGGAGGGCTTATTTTAGCGCATGCACTCAAAAGCCCGATTGGGCTTATTATCCGGGGAGGTCTTATTTTCAGGGAAACAAGGTATTATTCTATATGAAGGACAGCTCATTTTGTGAGATTGGTGTCCCAAATGAAATATGCACGTTTTGGATGCATGGACTAAAGCAAATGTTTTTGTTTTTTGAGCAAAAACAGTTGGGGGACACAGGGGAAAAGCCACGACATCTGCCTGTCATGGGAGAAAGAAATGCTAGGTGCATCAGTGGGATATGCCCACTGGTGGCAGCAGTGACTGAGAAAAGGGGGGGAAAGGCCATGGGAAGATAGGGATGAGCATGTGTCATATTGGGAATTTGGTGATTTCTGAGAGGGGTGGAAGGAAAGGGAAATTGCAGGGAAAGAGGGCAGTGAAGAACGATATACCATGTCAGAAACTGTAGTGAGGGCAGAATGTTTTCTCCATGTTACCCACAGTCTTTATGTTACTGTCTTCCAAAATCATAGGCTGCAGAAAAACTATTTGGAATCAGCCTTCCAACAGCTTCTCTTCATCATCTCTGGGAAAAAACCCATTTGCTTTGGGGAATGGCCAACTACAATACTCAATTGCCTCCAACTCTTAATTTCCCTGCAAACTTTTACAAGGAGAAACAGTCGCAGGGTGCAAACTACGCCTTGGCGATCTGAGATTGAAATTCCTCTATAAAATATTACCAAGCAATTTTAAAATTAAGTCCTTTGGGTTTACAGTCAGGTGAAGTAGCTTTAAAACAAACCTTAGCATTTAGAGTGTGTTTCTCGCACATGTAAAACTGCAATTTTACACCGCTTGTTGAATTGATATTTATGCACACTTCTTCTTTGAGGTGCTTAACAAATTTAGCTTTTGTAATTGGCAATTCAGTACTTTCTCTGCAACATGTATTTCAAAAATCAAGCCAAGAATACTGGTTGGTTTCTTCCCTGAGCTATTGAAATCAATATATTAGAACATTTCTTGAAAAACGTGGAATGGTCCCGTTTTTCCCAGGTTATCAAGTTTATGAAATTTGGATAGTCATTCTAAGTCATTTTAAGATAAATGATTAAAAATGGTTGGAAGCTTGATTTAACCTTGAGTTTTCAGAAAATAGTCCTACTTATAGTGTGCCTTTAATATATGGGGCTTTTGTTTAATGCTTTGATTCCCCTACTCTGTTTCCACATTTATCATCTCTAAAAAAGATGTTAATTGTATTTGCCCTCAACTATTACACCTTTCTAAGCCTTTTGAAATCTCCATTTTCAGAGATAGCAGTCTGCGTTGATAGTAACAACAAATACTTCCAGTCCAAAGATGGGATGTTGCTTTTACAATTAGCACAGTGGCCTTCGTTTTCTTAAACTACTTTTGCAGCTTTTGCAGAGTTTGACAGAATTGGATTTTTTTTTCTACCCAAGGTAGCTGATCCTGCTGAACGCTGCATGTTTTCAATACTTTAATAAAGATTAAATGTGTGTGTGATTAAAAGAATGTAGGTAGCCAGGCAGTAAGACATCAATATATGTATGTCTTTTGTATAAAGCTGATGTCTTGGAAATAAAGCATCTCTAACGGTAATTGCCCCTTTTCAAGAGAGTGGTCCATCCCAGCATATCTGAAATGTGCAAAAGTTCCAAAATCTGTAAATGTTTTCCATAAATACCTTTCCCCAACCAGGGCACATTTCAAGATTCTGTATTTCAACACTCAGAATTTTTTGGTTAGCATGTTAAGAATTCTGGTTATTGAAATCTATTAGGCTGGGAAGAGTTGCTCTGGATGATATTTAAAACTTGGAAAAGAGAAGAAAAAAGTAAAGGGAACCTCTATTTATTTATATCGCTCCAGGTTATTTTTTATAATACTGCATAATTTTGTAAGCATCTCTAGAACTTCAGGTGCCAGACTACACACTACAAACATTGCCTTAATTTGCATGATGTTTTCCTTTATTATTTAGATATAAGCCCAGTTTTTTCTCTTGTTANGGTGGGCCTTTGGCATTTAGTCATGCCGGCCACATGACCACAGAGACGTCTTCGGACAGCGCTGGTTCTTCGGCTTTGAAATGGAGATGAGCACCACCCCCTAGAGTTGGGAACGACTGGCACATATACACAAGGGGAACCTTACCTTTACTTATCAGAAAGAACATGTGAGAGTACTGGTACATAGGAATTAATTATTGGTGTTAACTTCCATAGTGATACAAATGGTGGTGTTTCATGAATCAAATACACTGAAGGGAAAAAGTTGTTTTTTACACAGTCTGCAATAAGGAATTTGAGATCTGAGCCAAAGTTTGGAAACAAACATGGAATGGCCATTATTCAGATTCGGTGACAAGATTTTCCTTGAGCCATTGCTAGAAGATTGAACAACGGCAATGTTTCACAACCTTAAAACTATCAGCAAATTTTATGAGATTGTTGTGGGTTGAAGTTAAGCTTTGGAATGAGGAATTGGTTGGACCTGGAAGGCCTGGAGAAAATTTATGAAATGCAATGGTGTCAAATTTATGGTCAACTTATCTAGGAACGGAGAATGGGAAAAATATGGTCTGGGCAATGTTGCAAATCATTGTGCTTTTCAAATGAAAATGTTGAAGAAAACTCCTGTCTTCAGCCAAGCAGAGGACAATTAAATGAGTTGAAAGGCCCTGTCAATCCTTGGTTATCATAAGGGAGAGGGATCTTGGAGTCCTAGTGAAGATCTCTTGAATATGAGTTTCAGCTTCCAAAAGAGTCAATGCAGTCCTAGGCTGCATCAATAGAGGGATGGAATCAAGATCAGGTCAAATGTTAATACCACCTTATAATGCCTTGGTAAGGCCACACGTGGAATATTGCACCCATTTCTGGTTGCAATAATGCAAAGAAGATCGACCAAGATGATTAGGGGACTGAAGGCTAAAACATGAAGAACAGTTGCAGGATTTAGGTGTTGTAGAACTACAATCAACATCTAAAGATATCTACCAGCGATGTCAAGAATTGGGTGTGCTGCAATTGGATCAGTCTAACTTAATGAAAAGGGCTAGAGATGACATAATACCAATGTTCCAATATCTAAGGGATTGTCACAAAGAAGAGGGGGGTCAACCTATTCTCCAAAGCACCTTAAAGCAGGACAAGAAGCAATGAATGGGAACTAATCAAGGAGAGAAGCAGAACTAAGGAGAAATTTCCTGATAATTAGAACAATTAATCAGTGGAACAACTTGCCTTCAGAAGGTGTGGGTGATCCAACACAGTGAGTTTTTAAGAAGAGATTGGACAACCATTTGTCTGAAATGGTATAGCCCTTCCTGCTTGAGCAGTGGGTTGGGCTAGAAGACCTCCAAGATCCCTTCCAACTCTGTTATTCTGTTATGAAACATTTGAGGTGAGAAAGTACATATGGATGGAAGAAAACAAACTAATACTAAGTAAAACTAATCTAAAACCAGAATAAAACATTTTAACGATGATCAAAATATTGGTAGATCTTTGTTTCTGAATTATATAAAAAAAATCCCCCTCCATAATTTAAAAACATCTTCATATTCTTTCTTTGTGAAATTTATTTCTATTTTATTTTCCCAAGGAAAGTCTTCCTAATGCCTGATTTGAAAGACTTTTCACTTCCTATATAATGCTGCCTGCCATATAGCAATGGTCAGCTATAGCTCTATGGGACAGCCAAATTCTACTTAAGGACAAAACTGTCCCATGGTGCTTTCCTTGCAATTGTAATGTGTGTGTGTGGGGGGGGGGCTAAGGAAAGTGATAGATAGATTTCTCCAATTTTGTTTCCTTTACTTACTTTCAATTGTCCCCAGCTGATGGTAGAAACAACCACCAGTTGGTCTCCTTTCCATCTCATGTAATACGGTTAGGGAAGGACAGGATTCAGTCCTCTTGATGCCATGAAGCCAGAGGTAAAATGCTACCAGTTTGCCTGAACAGGTAGCTCCGTGACAATCAGCTGTGCCGTGCAATTAGAAATTGTGTGGGACAGCTGATTGTTGCACAGCTGATTGTCAGAACTACTGGTTCACCCAAACCAGTAGCATTTTTTTTTTTACTACCGGTTCGGACAAACCAGTAGTTCCAACAATCATCTATGCAACTATCAGATTTATAGGTTCCACCACAAATCCGCGAAGCCCTTCTGCGCAGAGACATAAGCACGAAGACTAAATCGTGCCGTTCTAAGCGCTAGGGAAAAACGCGACCCTACCGCGATGACATAATCGCGGAGGGCAAAATCGCGNTTTTGATCTTTCTCAAAAGTATTCTTCTACACAACCGTCCATTCATCTCACTAAGGCTTGAGGGATGTTGATGGATATTTTGCTTCGAGCCCTTAACGATCATGGACACTTGAGTATTCTGGCTGTGTCTGTGGAGTTCAATAAACATGGAATCCTTGTGTTTCTATGCTCGGGTATTTGAAATGAGGCTTCAAGTTAACTGTACTCCAAATCATTGACATGTTCAGATGCAGAGATTTTTTAAAAAGGTTCCTGGAGCAGCTTTAGAATTACGATATCTCGGTTAAATGACCAGCTGTTGCTCTTTTCTGGAAATGTGC